ATGTGGTTGTGTGTTTTGTCTATTGTCTTCATTGTAGTCTTTGTCGTTGTGTGTTTGCGGCTCAATCCCGACAACAGCCTCCAGGGTTTGTTGCGTGTATTGTGTGTATTGTAAAGCCTCTGTTGTGTGTTTGCAGCTCACACTCCCGACAACAGCTTCTTGGGTTTTGTGGTGGAGCAGCATCTGAACGCCAGCGACATCCGACACATCGACGACGTCAAGCGGCAGAACCAGTCCCTCGTCTATGGAAAAGTGGACAACTTCTGGAAGGTATGGAAGCTCTGTTTATACTGTGTTTATACTGTGTTTATACTGTGTTTATACTGTGTTTATACTGCGTTTATACTGCGTTTATACTGCGTTTATACTGCGTTTATACTGCGTTTATACTGCGTTTATACTGCGTTTATACTGCGTTTATACTGCGTTTATACTGCGTTTATACTGCGTTTATACTGTGCCTCCACCAGGTGCTAAAGCTGCACAATACATTGAGAGACCACCCGAGAGAGAGACCACCAGAGAGAGAGACCAGAGAGAGAGACCAGAGAGAGAGACCAGAGAGAGAGAGACCAGAGAGAGAGAGACCAGAGTTATGCAGTATTTATTCTTTAGTATTATTTGATTACTATTCAGTCATTGACCTACTTTTCATCTCTCTCTGGATCCAGAATCTGACCATTTTTAAGATGAAAAACTCCAAAACAAAACAATGTTGAATTCTGTGAAGTTGTTGTGTCTCTGCCGCAGCGAGAGCTTACATTAGAATATATTATCAGAAGAGAGTCTGAGCTGCAGTCTCCCACTCACAGCATTCTTACTGAAATCTGTCTATTATGTCAGAAATATCACATTCTTCATCGTGAGGAATGGACAAAAATTCCCAGTCTCAGATTCAGAACCACTGAAAACAGACCCTCGCTGTGAGAAGGTTCTGCTGCAAAGTACAAATTCTGTGTAAGACTGTATTTTGTCACAGACACATGCACGCACACGCACACACATACAGACACATGCACGCACACAGATACACACACACACACACACAGATACACACACACACACACATACAGATACACACACACACACACACACACACCCTGCACCCCTTTTCTTACCTTTTTCGTGGAAGATGAAAGTGAATGAATTGAGATCAAGGGGGAATTCCTGGTCCATTCCACACCATTGTATCTGATTGAGAAACCCCACCCCCACTTTAGACTGCATTTAGCCTGGGGTTAGCGACGTGCTACAGCTAACACTTAGTACTTTACAGCTAGCATTTCTTTAACTTCTACTTCGTCTGAGAGTGAAACGTCCCTGATCTCAGAGTGAAGTCTGAGGGCCGTGGGAGTGAAAAGTCCCTGATCTCAGAGTGAGGTCTGAGGGTGAAAAGTCCCTGATCTCAGAGTGAGGTCTGAGGGTGAAAAGTCCCTGATCTCAGAGTGAGGTCTGAGGGTGAAAAGTCCCTGATCTCAGAGTGAGGTCTGAGGGTGAAAAGTCCCTGATCTCAGAGTGAAGTCTGAGGGGTGAAAAGTCCCTGATCTCAGAGTGAGGTCTGAGGGTGAAAAGTCCCTGATCTCAGAGTGAGGTCTGAGGGTGAAAAGTCCCTGATCTCAGAGTGAGGTCTGAGGGTGAAAAGTCCCTGATCTCAGAGTGAGGTCTGAGGGTGAAAAGTCCCTGATCTCAGAGTGAGGTCTGAGGGTGAAAAGTCCCTGATCTCAGAGTGAAGTCTGAGGGTGAAAAGTCCCTGATCTCAGAGTGAGGTCTGAGGGTGAAAAGTCCCTGATCTCAGAGTGAGGTCTGAGGGTGAAAAGTCCCTGATCTCAGAGTGAAGTCTGAGGGTGAAAAGTCCCTGATCTCAGAGTGAGGTCTGAGGGTGAAAAGTCCCTGATCTCAGAGTGAGGTCTGTGGGTGAAAAGTCCCTGATCTCAGAGTCAGGTCTGAGGGTGAAAAGTCCCTGATCTCAGAGTGAGGTCTGTGGGTGAAAAGTCCCTGATCTCAGAGTGAGGTCTGAGGGTGAAAAGTCCCTGATCTCAGAGTGAAGTCTGAGGGTGAAAAGTCCCTGATCTCAGAGTGAAGTCTGAGAGTGAAAAGTCCCTGATCTCAGAGTGAAGTCTGAGGGTGAAAAGTCCCTGATCTCAGAGTGAAGTCTGAGAGTGAAAAGTCCCTGATCTCAGAGTGAAGTCTGAGGGTGAAAAGTCCCTGATCTCAGAGTGAGGTCTGAGGGTGAAAAGTCCCTAATCTCAGAGTGAGGTCTGAGGGTGAAAAGTCCCTGATCTCAGAGTGAGGTCTGAGGATGAAATTCCCTGATCTCAGAGTGAAGTCTGAGGGTGAAAAGTCCCTGATCTCAGAGTGAGGTCTGAGGGTGAAATTCCCTGATCTCAGAGTGAAGTCTGAGGGTGAAAAGTCCCTGATCTCAGAGTGAAGTCTGAGAGTGAAAAGTCCCTGATCTCAGAGTGAAGTCTGAGGGTGAAAAGTCCCTGATCTCAGTGAAGTATGAGGGTGAAAAGTCCCTGATCTCAGAGTGAAGTCTGAGAGTGAAAAGTCCCTGATCTCAGAGTGAAGTCTGAGAGTGAAAAGTCCCTGATCTCAGAGTGAAGTCTGAGGGTGAAAAGTCCCTGATCTCAGAGTGAGGTCTGAGGGTGAAAAGTCCCTGATCTCAGAGTGAAGTCTGAGGGTGAAAAGTCCCTGATCTCAGAGTGAAGTCTGAGAGTGAAAAGTCCCTGATCTCAGAGTGAGGTCTGAGGGTGAAAAGTCCCTGATCTCAGAGTGAAGTCTGAGAGTGAAAAGTCCCTGATCTCAGAGTGAAGTCTGAGGGTGAAAAGTCCCTGATCTCAGAGTGAAGTCTGAGGGTGAAAAGTCCCTGATCTCAGAGTGAAGTCTGAGGGTGAAAAGTCCCTGATCTCAGAGTGAAGTCTGAGGGCCGTGGGAGTGAAAAGTGGAGCATCTTTCTGTGGAAAAAGGTTCAAAAGTTCCATCATTCTTTCAAGCCCCGACATTTTCAAAATTCTCTGACTTTCTCTCGCTTTAGAACTTTATAATTCTATAACTTTGTGACAGAAACAGAGTTAGAATTATAGAGTTACAAACAGCTGCAGTTTTGTACCTTTGGGATTTATCATCTTTAGCTTTTCCTTGCCAAAAAGGACTGATTTTTCTTTGTCTTTCAGTCCTCTGTGGTCTCTCTCTCTCTCTCTCTCGCGCGTCTCTCTCTCTCTCTCTGGATCTCAGAGTGAAGTCTGAGAGTGAAAAGTCCCTGATCTCAGAGTGAAGTCTGAGGTGAAAAGTCCCTGATCTCAGAGTGAAGTCTGAGGTGAAAAGTCCCTGATCTCAGAGTGAAGTCTGAGGGTGAAAAGTCCCTGATCTCAGAGTGAAGTCTGAGGGCCGTGGGAGTGAAAAGTGGAGCATCTTTCTGTGGAAAAAGGTTCAAAAGTTCCATCATTCTTTCAAGCCCCGACATTTTCAAAATTCTCTGACTTTCTCTCGCTTTAGAACTTTATAATTCTATAACTTTGTGACAGAAACAGAGTTAGAATTATAGAGTTACAAACAGCTGCAGTTTTGTACCTTTGGGATTTATCATCTTTAGCTTTTCCTTGCCAAAAAGGACTGATTTTTCTTTGTCTTTCAGTCCTCTGTGGTCTCTCTCTCTCTCTCTCTCGCGCTCTCTCTCTCTCTCTCTGGTCTCTCTCTGGTCTCTCTCTCTGTGGTCTCTCTCTGGTCTCTCTCTCTGTGGTCTCTCTCTGGTCTCTCTCTCTCTGGTCTCTCTCTCTGGTCTCTCTCTCTGGTCTCTCTCTGGTCTCTCTCTGGTCTCTCTCTGTGGTCTCTCTCTGGTCTCTCTCTGGTCTCTCTCTCTGGTCTCTCTCTAGTCTCTGGTCTCTCTCTGGTCTCTCTCTCTGGTCTCTCTCTGGTCTCTCTCTCTGGTCTCTCTCTGGTCTCTCTCTAGTCTCTGGTCTCTCTCTGGTCTCTCTCTGGTCTCTGGTCTCTCTCTGGTCTCTCTCTGGTCTCTCTCTCTGGTCTTTCTCTGGTCTCTCTCTGGTCTCTCTCTGGTCTCTCTCTCTGGTCTCTCTCTCTGGTCTCTCTCTCTGGTCTCTCGCTCTGGTCTCTCTCTGGTCTCTCTCTCTGGTCTCTCTCTCTCTGGTCTCTCTCTCTGGTCTCTCTCTGGTCTCTCTCTGGTCTCTCTCTCTGGTCTCTCTCTCTTGTCTCTCTCTCTGGTCTCTCTCTATGGTCTCTCTCTCTGGTCTCTCTCTCTGGTCTCTCTCTCTGGTCTCTCTCTATGGTCTCTCTCTCTGGTCTCTCTCTGGTCTCTCTCTCTGGTCTCTCTCTGGTCTCTCTCTCTGGTCTCTCTCTCTTGTCTCTCTCTCTGGTCTCTCTCTATGGTCTCTCTCTCTGGTCTCTCTCTGGTCTCTCTCTCTGGTCTCTCTCTGGTCTCTCTCTCTGGTCTCTCTCTCTGGTCTCTCTCTCTGGTCTCTCTCTGGTCTCTCTCTGGTCTCTCTCTGGTCTCTCTCTGGTCTCTCTCTCTGGTCTCTCTCTGGTATCTCTCTGGTCTCTCTCTGGTCTCTCTCTGGTCTCTCTCTCTGGTCTCTCTCTCTGGTCTCTCTCTCTGGTCTCTCTCTCTGGTCTCTCTCTGGTCTCTCTCTCTGGTCTCTCTCTGGTCTCTCTCTGGTCTCTCTCTGGTATCTCTCTGGTCTCTCTCTGGTCTCTCTCTGGTCTCTCTCTGGTCTCTCTCTCTGGTCTCTCTCTGGTCTCTCTCTCTGGTCTCTCTCTCTGGTCTCTCTCTCTGGTCTCTCTCTCTGGTCTCTCTCTCTGGTCTCTCTCTCTGGTCTCTCTCTCTGGTCTCTCTCTGGTCTCTCTCTCTGGTCTCTCTCTCTGGTCTCTCTCTGGTCTCTCTCTGGTCTCTCTCTCTGGTCTCTCTCTCTGGTCTCTCTCTCTGGTCTCTCTCTGGTCTCTCTCTCTGGTCTCTCTCTCTGGTCTCTCTCTCTGGTCTCTCTCTGGTCTCTCTCTCTGGTCTCTCTCTCTGGTCTCTCTCTGGTCTCTCTCTGGTCTCTCTCTCTGGTCTCTCTCTGGTCTCTCTCTCTGGTCTCTCTCTGGTCTCTCTCTGGTCTCTCTCTGGTCTCTCTCTCTGGTCTCTCTCTGGTCTCTCTCTCTGGTCTCTCTCTCTGGTCTCTCTCTGGTCTCTCTCTCTGGTCTCTCTCTCTGGTCTCTCTCTGGTCTCTCTCTCTGGTCTCTCTCTCTGGTCTCTCTCTCTGGTCTCTCTCTGGTCTCTC